GCTTAGAGGACCCCGATGCAGACACCAGCTCCAACGGTTCCTGAGTGATCACATACCGTAATACGGTAATAACATACTGCCTGTATATCATGCGCCGCTGTGCGGCTGCTGGTTGGGATCGAGTGAGAGCCCTTAAGGCACAACGGAACGAGTGAGTTCCGTAAGAACGATCGGTGAGCGCCTCCTACCATTGTATATTCCCGATCGAAACCGACAGGGCAACGGGTGCGTGGCCCAGTGGTTAGAGGCGTAGACATCTAACTAACAGGTCGAGAGTTCGAGCCTCGGGTCTTCCACGCTTCGGGGTTGGGTATGACTGGCTGACGACGGCTAATAAGCCAGAAATGGCCATTCCGGTCTCCCTTTTCTTTGTCAGTAATAGCTTACTGCCTATATCATGCACCGCTGTGTGGCTGCTGGCTGGGCTCGAGAGAGGGCTCTGAATGCGTCCGTTCCCAGCTGGTTTTGCACTCCCGCGCAACGAGGCCTATCCCATCATGTCCGTACATCTGACCTCCGATCTGCGAATTTTTCTGGTCCGACGAGCAAGCAACCGATCACAATTCCCAGTATACGAAATAATCAGATGATACTCATAGACAGTCATCTTCCGAAAAGTGTAACGAACTTAATTACCCGGTCCCGACACTCCGCCGAACAGCTTGTTCAGATTGTCTATAGCTTAAAGAAATCCTCCGTCATCCACCTTCTCTGCTCAACCCACTTCATTTAGCCTGCTGGAGGGCGCAGACCTCGAAATCGGCCCGGAATATAGTCTTTATTCAGAAGTAGAATGTGTAGTCTTTATCGAGGTCCAGTAGTTCATCCTCCCTGTAACCGGAAGCCTCCTAAACTATTTCGTCCCATCGCGGACATTACTTGCTGGTTTTACGTCGCCTCAGGGCCGATTTCCTCGTTGTTTTCAGTCTTTTGACCCTCTGCAGATATTCAGCACTGAACGACCGATAGCCCGCCCACCAGAGACAATTCTTCGTGAATGAAGGCAAAATGTCGAGTTCCAGCTGCACGCATAAGTGAAGAGGAGTCGAGCACCGGAACACTTTGATTATTGTCCCGAGCTTTCAGACTCGTACAGGGGTCCATCGTCAGAGGTAGTAGCAGTATCATAACAAGCGACAGTTATAAGGCATGTAGGCCAATCATCGACCGACGGCGCAAGACTGGAGGTGACTACGCAGTCCTCTGTACGCCGGCGCCAGATCGATAAATCGACTGACCGACTTCTCATCCGAGGCCCAGGCTTCAATAAATTTTCGGCCTGTTTTGTTTCTGGCGTGAGCGACTATTTTGGCGGATGTGAAGTTAAACTCATGACCCATTTCTTAGGTGTGGGCGGCCACTTGTGATAATGCACAGCCACCGCGATCCGAGCATGCGCCCAGTCTGTCCTGTGTAGTTACAAGGACAATTTTGACACGGAATGCGATACACAAACATCCGACCAGTCGGCTTCTAGGTGTCAGGCTCGGAAGCTCCTTGTCAACTATCCCAGCCCCCAGCCGGTACCCACATTCCAATAACAGGTTGTTCATTTTTCTCTTCCTCTCGGTCCCACAGTTTTTTTCCTGCTAATCTGTCTACATTTTAGACTGCGTTTGGGTAAGAGTTGATTCGTTATTTCCCCTAACTACTGATGTCTTAATAGTGTCTGTCAAGCGTCTGACAATGCAACTCACCGCCATCATGGATTTACTCCAAAGTTCGCCCAAAGTCAAAGGCTATGTCAGATGACAGTCGGAATAACTGGGATATTCTTTGTATTTCTATAGTAATAAATATCACGATTAGCAAGGCATGGTAGAGTTAAAAGTCGGTGTATATGTTGAAAAGAGAAATACATTCGAGGTGATTAGACGAACAGTCACGCGAATAACATCAACACGTAATGGTCGATTCAAAAGCGGACGACGGCAAAGAACAATGAACGACGGGAATCGACGAGTAGGAATGCAGAAATAATAAAAGCGTAATCCGGATAAAGTCTGGTCCCTACCAAATGGTTAGCAGCAAATAAAACAAGAATTCAAGGTTGACATGCGGGAAATCACTACCTCAGCCTCAGGGTGGTGACTATGCCGTATCCTGATACGCCACTCGCTAGTTCCAGACATACGCGTCGGGATGCCACAGTCTGAGTTTACAAACAGACTGTTCTACTCGGAAGGCGACTACTTTCACAGGTCGTTCACAGATTAGACTTAAACTTAGACTTAAACTTACGATCCCAAGTGTGCGAGACCGCAGGAACCTCAGATCTAGATCCCACTGGATCTAAACTAATGTAGACAAACGGCGACCGGCACAAGGGGTCGAGAAGAGGCATCCCTTACCAACAACAGGCTTACCTTGTTCCCGCCTTCCTGGTTGACAAGTATGGTGCAACGGGTCAGGTCCAGAAATGGTGCCTCCTACGTCCATACGGAGATCCCTGACTCCAGTTGGCCTAGCTGGGGTTTGGTGTGCACACTTAACGACAATCTAGTTGGCCCTAGACAAGCCAAATTCCCCTAAAGATGTTGCGACCAGCGAAGTCCTGGCATTTGTAGATGTTGGACTGGCCACGCTCTCGGATGCTTCAACGGGAAGACTCCAACGCGGCAAAGTCCCACAGCCGAAGTTGCCTAGTTGCATTTACACGTGGCCAAGGCCCTACTGCACCACCCGACGCGACTAGTTTTGCAAACATTAAAGCACATTCCTAGGGGACAACGTCCAGTGCGCCGTGTCAACCCTTTAGGGAATGAAGCCTGACATCGTGTGATACACCGGCACGAGTGAATTCTCAGACTGCTTTGTGCGGCACACCCCATGCGTGCGCCGACAGATGCTTATCTCTAAACGCTTGAAGACCCCACTCCGGTAGGTAGCCGCAAGTCCGTTTTAACAAAAACTTCCTGTGGACTTGCTTACTATGCAGAATATCTTCCACACTCTCGCATCTGCTCAGTATCATTTGTGCCGAGACTAGACCGTTTTGCCATAAAAAAAATACTGATGTACCTACGGAAACAGCCTGGGCGTGTAGCGTTGCTGGTGGCTGGTCAACCTGACGGACCATTGAGCCAGCAAAGACAAACGGGATTGCGACCCCAGTAGGGCCTGAAATAATTTTAATCTCCCAGCATCTGTCAGCCCTGAGTGGCATGAGCCGACCCGCTGTTACTGCTGGTGAAACAAAACAGGCACAATTGCGACCCCCTGTGCGTCATTCCACCATAGTGGGAGTTAATTATCGCCTTGGCTCATCGACATTGGCGGAAGAATAAAGACCGCGACGCGTACCAGAGCCGGCCACCAGCCCGCGCTATCCACAACATGAGCGTGCCTTCGACAGGCAGAGCCGAGCAACTACGATCCCTGTCAGTTTGTCACCACCGTAACTTACAGATCGCGATTCGGTAACGGTGACCCGTCTTATTCAGTTCAACGCGTTTGTGATGTTGGACGACGCTGGTACCATGACCGGTGATACCACCTCAGTGCCCAGAGCCTCACACCGCGACTCGATGTCAATCCCGCCGGTCCCGAGTCTGAAATGCAGACGACGTTCACTAAATCTTCGCAGCACTGTCCGCAACTCTACCAAAGTTCTGCTGTGACTAACAACTGACAGCACGTACAAGCAAGCGCGGATGTAACGGCTGTGGTATGACACTGCAGTTAATTTTGACGTCGATTCGAACCGTCTCTTTGCATGAAACACTCCGGCAGAACGCCTCACCGAGCACCTGGAATATACTCGCGAGCATAACCCGTGCCAAGCCGCGGGCTTGCAAGACTGAATACACCGGCAATGGATAGTTTATTTTCCAATCACTCTCCGACCACAGCCAACTCCTTCTGTAGTTGAGATAGATAATGGGCCTTCTTCTGCCGCACGCGTTCGCGACGCTCCTTCTGGTTCATTCTCTTCCTGTTGAAGCGCTGCTTCTTCACCTCCTTCTTCTCCGCCTTAGCTGGCGATGGGTCTTTTCGAATAGCCTCATGTGCACTAAGGTACATGGACTCGATCTTGTCTTCGGTAATGCCCTCCTTCAGATAGGCGCTGAATTGGCGTTTATAGGTCTCCTCACTCTCCTCCTTCAGGGCCTTCATGTACTCCGAGACATGATGGCCAAGAATTCGAGCACGGTGGACCTCAGCATTGCACTCACCGGACTCAGGGTCATTTCCTGGGAAGCGGGAAGCACTGTGGGGAATGTTTAGGCCGCCATCGACAGCTCCCTAAAATACCAGTCAACTAAGAAACAGGGAAATACCTTGAGGGCACCAAAGATGTTTGCTCCGGTGGAAGTCCTCCGAAGGCCGATATCAAGGTAGCACTTGAAAGCGGCTCGCTGGCCATCAGGAGACTCGACGTGGTATTCCTCACCAGTCACTTCCTTCTGACCCTCGTAAAGGCCGTCCAACTTCAGTTGGGCGAGGACACGTCGCGCCAAGAGGAGGCCTGTGCAATAGGCGGCTGGGTAGTTGGTTAACCCGACCTTCACTCCGTAGCGGGGCAACTCGTGGGAATAAGCACTGCAGAGGACGCGATCACCGTCCATGCGGGCGTAAACGATCTACTAATAAGGCAGGTTGCATGCTACTTACTTGACACACGATATCCCTATTCGTAAAGCGAACAACCAGCCTATATTTTGGTGTGTTATACTTGTTTTTGTCCTGCCATATCAGGCGTTTGCGTGCGAAGTAGTCAGTCTTACCCTCTAGAAAACCACCATAATTGAAAATAATGGAATTACCTCGGCGCCTACGAAACTTGACCTGAAATCGCTTGAAGTACGCCTTGTTCTTTACGACCTTGACCAAGCCCTAGAACCAAAAGAACGAATCGTAAAGTAAAAAAGTCAACAGTGCAGAACGGTTGACAGCAAAATGTAATATGGATAATTCAAAGGCCCCAGTCACATCTAGCAAAGGGACTCAAGCGACGAAGTATTGCCACAAGTTCAACCAACCTAAGATAAATGTCGTAAGGACTTTCGAAAACAGTAGGCCAAGAACTCTTAGGGCTCCTGAGGAAAAGTGCATGGGTTTATTTTTAGATTTCCAAGGGGTTCCCTTGATAGCGAGCATAAAAGCCTTATTTCGACCACGTGGGAGGAGGGCAACTAAAAAGCTATAATCGGCAAAAAACGATGCGTTGTTCTGTGACTCTTAACAGCATCAATATATCAACCGTGCCAGGCACGCAACTCACCATGCTCTCGGCCTTCTAATTATTTTAAAGTGGCGCCCTCAGAGCGTTTAAACAACACTCCGTGATGGCCCCAAGGAGGAAGAAAATTAAGAGACAAAAACGGAAGTAACAGAATCCTGTGGAACGTTTGACCGAACACCCTTCAAGATATCCTGTTAAAATACTTGAGAATCTTTCCTGTCGGCAATGGCAATCATATGTCCTCGCAACAGACTGATGATCCTATGCTTGGAGAGGTTGACAGTGTTATAATTCCGACCACCAGAGCTTGCGTCAGAGCTCGTTATTCCCTTTTTAGTAAGCCGGTTTCTGCGGAGACAGCAGAATTCCGAAATCCTAGGCTAGGATGCAGGACTTACTCTCAAAACCGAACACTTCCGTACCTTCTAATACCTTTGCCAAAATCTGTACAGGCTAAACATCGAAACTTCGTGCAGGGAACATAGACAAGACATAGCCACGTATGTGAAGGCAAACGGCTTATAAAGTAGACACTTACCTCATTGAGTAGAGGGGAGTCACACTAGAGGACGTAGACTGCGTGTCTAGTGAAGCAATTATTTCAGAGAGTTCTCGCTTGTCAAAGTGACCCAGCTATAGTTCCGATTTGACCACTTTTCTCCGGCGTCACTTAGTTGCTTTCCATCTCTAAATTACTTCTAGCACTGCAATAGTGAAGCAAAGACCGTAAAAGCCTAACTGCGCAATGAAGCTCGGGTGCTGCTATGCAGTTCCCAGCAGGTATAACGAAAACAGGGTCATAACTACGGACAACCAAAATGATCAACTGTCAATGGCATACTGGTAAACCGAGTGAACAATCTTCAGTGTTTGAAGGTTTTTTCGAAATATCAGTGCATAAACTTGGTGCGGGGACTACATTTGTGGGCCGTGGTAAAACTGTGTTCGAACTTTTTTTGTAGATATTTTTGTAGATGTTTTCTCGATTTAATGTTTTGCTCCTTTCGAATTGGGAGGAGTTCCCTGCGTGTGCCTGCAACGGCAAGCAAGCGCTCTTTCATCTGCATTAAGTTTTTTATGGTCGCTAAAGCACCAATACAGTAGCCATGCGGAATAATCAAATCCCCTGTAGTAGTTCATGTATGCATGCCTGAGTCACCCAAAATAACTCGACCTTAAATGAAATTGTAGTGAGACTCTGCCGGTCGATCGAAACTTTAAACCAAACGTGGGTTTCTTGAACAAATCTAGTTCATATGTCTGGCCTGAAGTTTTTGAAGCCTTTACGAGCAAGAGGTGGTTGTTCGTTAGATGCTGAGGCGCGCCGTTTGTGTAGATTAACAAAAGCAATTGTCCTAACTTCGACTACTACGATCTTCTTATACTAATTCATGTGGTTAGGTTTTGCCAACTCCTCCCTAGTAAGTTGTGCGTGAAGAAAGCTCCTAATTCAGTCATTTTTACTGTTTGCCATCTGCATGCATGGATGTTTTACCAGTTTGACTATTATTCAGAGATTTTTAAAGCTCTCCTGTCATGGAGCAAGACGGCTTCCCTCAAGTTGGTCTGGTGGCCTGTCAAGGGCTTTTCCTGAGGTTTGGAAGTTCGAAGGGAGGGCATGTGTTTAACTATCTAAATTCCAAGACTAATTCAAGCAAAGTTTCGTGGAAGACCAGTAGGTTTGGTAGCCTAGTGATCCTGCGCTTGTTCAAGGATTACAAAGAAACCTAGCCAGTAAGGAGCTCTAGCTCGGTTTCACAGAACCCGAATAATGTGAAGATACTCGTCTAATGACGGGAGAATCGAATTTATTGCGGCTTTATTTTTGAAAGAGTTTCTAACGAGTCAATCAACGTATTTGGTCCTTACCTCTCTCTAGCCTAAATGGGCTTAAATGGACAGGGTGAGTCGTGAGCAATTTGGCAATTCTGAGACGGAAAACCTTAGACCGGACCTACTACGACATAGTTAACTGCATAGCCTTAGGATAATAATAATAAATCGAGAAAACAGATGATGTCGTCAGTTGAATTATCCCTATACAGTAATTGTAGCATGAGTCGGTACGCCGACAAAAACGGTGAAAGGTCGCTGAAAGTAAAATTCAGCAAAACGGGAAGTATAATTGCACAGACAAAACAAACACGGAGAAAAGTCCTGCGCTTAATTTCGTGCTATCCTTGAGCGCTGTACAACTGAGACGAATAAAACCCCAAAATATTTGGCAGTTTTACTTATGCTGTTAGTACTAAGCGGGTCCATATCACCATCAAATACAAGTCGATAACTGAAGTGTTATGTAAGAGGCGACTCCCATTTTCCTAAAAAAGAAGACTCAAGGATTTCAAATAAATCACTATTATTGATAAGGCGGATTAACCAGTAAGTTTCCAGAAGTTCGATCTTGAAGATTTTGCGGGTATTAATCGAAATCAGATGTGATAATAAGCTACAATAGTCGTCATATCGACCTAGTGTTCCAGACGACTAGTATAATAAGATCCTGAACATAGGAAATTTAGGTTAGTTTACTGATATCTGCCCGAGTAAGAAGCATCTAAATGTGTGATATAAATGTCATCCAGTTATATTTTTTGAAATTTTCAATTTTATAACAACCGGTTTCATTCGGTAATCCGGGGAAAGAGCGGGAATATTCAAGAGGAGGAAGGGCAAACACATAATAAACTCTTAATTTAATTCCAGGAGGATCGAAGTTGCGGGAAGTAAAACCCATATCTGTTTAGCTATGACCTTAATCCTGTCAGTGTAGGAAAAGCCATATAGATTATTGGCTGACTTTCACGGACGAAAGGCATAAGGCGATATTGGGATGGAGGGAATTCCATTAACCATATCAATCTTCATCCTGGGAGGATTGACAAGTATGCGTTAAGTTGTTTTAGACAAAAGTGTGCCATAGCCCTAGAGAAAGAATAAACGCCGCTGAGATCGTCAGTATAACTCAAAGATGCAAAGCAAAGCAACGAAGATGGTCAACGGTCTAAAGCGTTTGTCATACTAGGGAGGCTGAATGCGCCTGACTTATTCCCCTATCTTATGGACAACTAAACTGCAGTCTACTCTGGAGACTCCGGATTGTTCGAGGCTGTGGTTGCTCTTTGGAATTAGAGGACTTCCTTGAATTTGCCACTACAAGTCACGTACGTGGCCGTCCCTACAAAGTCATGAGCGCACGTACGCGGTTCGATCCTAAGAATTTTTCCTTCAGTCAACAGGTTTTGCGATCATGGAACTCGCTACCAAGTGAGATGGTGATGACCGACGCCATTTGCATGTTTAAAAGAAAAACTGCTCTCGTAATTTTCGACAAAGACCGACTTTAACGACATGACTGTTTACGGCCAGCTTTGTAAAACCTATTTTTAGACACAGACTGAAAAACCGTACATGTGTTTACGTAGATATACCGGTATATTTTATCAGATCTTATCAAGCAAATACATGGCTATCACATAAAATGCAACCAAATCTTCGTTTAAACGACTCGACGCTTTACACCAGAACAAATGAATTGGGTAGTTTGTTCCAATCCTCAATCATCCGATGGGAGAAAAAGTTCGCTCGCACTTCAAGCTTGGCGAACTTCGTCTTCAATTTATATCCGTGACCTCGAAGTTTTGGCGTTTGTGCCAGTTCAAAAAAATCGGCCGAGTTAAGTACACAATACACTCCCCTGAAAAGTTTGAAGACCATGGTCACATCCCCCCTGTATTGCCCATAATAGAGAGGGAAAAGTTTGAGCCTTTCTAGCCGTTCGTCATAAGGTAGGCTCTTCAGCCCACCGAATAGTTTAGTCGCTGTTCGTTGAACCTTCTCCATGAGAGTGCAATCTTGTCTCATCTAGGGGCGCCATGCCAGAATCCCATATTCAAAAATCGGTCGGACAAATGTTCCAAGCATTCGATCGAAAAGCTCATTGTCGAAGTTGAGGAATGATCTCCTGATCGCTCCCGGAATTCCCATAGCCTTCTTCGCTATCTTGGCGCAGTAAGATGAGGGTTTGAGAGTGGACGTCCTTCACACACCAAGGTACTTTACCTTATTTACAAGCTTGAGTTGGTGACCGCCGAGGAAATAGTGATATTTAGATTCCAGATCCTTTATGTAACTAGACCTTAGTCAGATGAATTGACACTTGTTGAAATTGAGGTTGAGAAGCCCTTCATCACACCACTGTTGCAGTCGATCTAAGTTTTTTTTGCAAATTTAAATCATCTTCTGGCTCTTCAGTCGAACTCCACATCTTCAAATCATCAGCGAACATTACCTTCCCGCAGGTTAGGCAACCTAGACAATAATTCACATATATTAAGAGCAGAATAGGACCTAGGACGCTTCCCTGTGGGACACCGATGTGAACGATTTCTCACTCCGATTTGGCATCGCCAACGCACACCCGCTGATGTCGGCCTGCGATAAAGTCGGTCAACCACTTGAGAAGGTTGCCAGTCACACCCATATGGCGTAGGATATATATGAGCCGTTTGTGTGGCACCCTGTCGAAGGCATTACCGAAGTCAATGTAAACTGCGTCTACTGACAAACCCATTTCTAGGGATTTCGTCCACCTTTTCATGGATATGAGCAGGTTAGTGGGACAGGATTGACCACTTCTAAATCCATATTGATGCTCACTAAGCAAGCTGTTTTTTTCAGTATGTCTCATCAGCTCAACAAATGCTTGTGTGACTCACTGTTCTGAAGCTATTTGGTGAGGTTCTTTCTCCCCCTTTATATATGAGTCTGATGTTCGCTAGCTTCCAGTAAGTAGGCAGAGCTTCTGCTTCCATGGAACTTTCAAAGACCTTGGAGAGTGGGGAGGCTAGTTGGTCTGCGAACTCATAGAGAACTTTCGCGGATAAACCATCCGGACCCGGCGATTTAATGGACTGCAGCCGTCTCCGAGTTTTCCTCACTGCGTCCGCTGTGAACGTCACTGCGTTAAGTGTATTTCCAGGTGGGTCAGTTTGCCGGTGTACTTCCTCATCAAATGGCAGCTCCTCGGTATACATAGACAT